CTCTCCCATCACTGTGCTGAAGACGGACCCCGGGAGGAAGCGCCACCCCAGTGGCAGTCTCGGTGGGCTGGGCAGACGTGGCGTATCCTAGAAGGGAGGGAGTGAAGATGAAGCCCTGTTGACATTGGGAGCTAAGCATTCGGCCCCTAACTGAAAGGTCAGCTTTTCAAGCCCCCCTGAAGGATGCGAGAGTCCACGTCCATAGAGACGGACAGGCCCAGAGACCCACAGGGCAGTCTACTCTGCCCTCTAGGGTCACTATGAGTCGAGTCGGTGGATGCTTCAGCTGTGGGTTCAGGAGTAGAGTCACTGAGGGTGGTATCATGGCTCTCCTCTTGGGTGGGGGGTGGGGTGGGGGCTAGGATAGTAGGGACCCGCGACATTGGAAATCCAGGCGGGCTTTGTGATCTCCAGAACTGCTGCATGGAAAGGCATCTCTCCCATGGCTGTATGATTCATTAGCGAAGTTAGTTCAGTAATCATACGTTGTGCCCGTTGGTTCAAGAAAGCCCTCCTCTCCTCAAACAATAGACAGGAAGGAGAAAGACCCTGATCAGAGAAAATAAGTGCACCGTTTCGCGCCCCCTTGTTTTAAGCACCTTTTCCCGTGCCATGTGATTGTTTTCCTGAAGGAACTTGTACAGAGCGTTGCCGTTGGCCTTCGAGGAATGTGAAGGCTACCCTGTAATGTGAGCTCGACTGCAGTGAACCGAACATTGTCTAACGTCTTTGTGGCTTTAGAGCTTTTGTTATATTGTGCCTACAAAGCAAATTATGTTTACATAAAAAATATATATATATAAAAATAAAGTATTCAGCATAGCATCCCTTCGCTTGGCGTCATTTATTTACACAGTGGTGGATTAGCTGCTTCCCTCCCTTTTTTTAAAAGGCCAGGACTGTGTAAGAAAGAATGAAAAAATCATTAAAAAGAAAAACATTTAAGTCTGTTTAAGTCAGTTTCCCAGAGGGAAACTGAAAAGCGACATGGGGAGATGTGCGGTGGAGGTGAAATGGGTCTTTAAAGAGGTGCTCGGAGTCCCTCGATGAGAAAGGAAAACCAGCATGCAAAGGATGGTGGGAAATACCACGGAGTCCCTGCTGGTGCAAATGGTTAACGCACTCAGCGGCTTCGCAAAAGGCTGTCGGTTCAAGTCCACGTAGAGCTAGGTGCCTTGGAAGAAAAGTCTTGTAATCTGCTTCCTAAAAGCTACCACTGAAAACCCCGTGGGGTACAGATCTGCTCTGACACACACACAGGCCTCCGGGAGTTGGGGTTGGCTCGACAACATTCCAAGTGATTTTGTGTGACCGTGGTGACAAATGGAAGGAGCCCTGGTAGGGGTTAGGCATTGGGCTGGCTGCCACCCCAATCATTGACAGTTTGAAACCACCAGCAGCTCTGAGGGAGAAAAGCTGGGCTTTCTGCTCCCGTAGAGAGTTAGTCTCAGAAACCCACAGGGGTTCCCTACGAGTCCTGTTGCCGCCGTGTCAACATGGCTCCATGAGATGATGACAACGTTGTTGGTTGTCTTTGAGTCTGTGTCAACTCATGATGCTATGTTTTACTTACATGTGTGACTGGCTCATCCTCCCAACATTTCTGGGAGATGCAGTCTAGGTTAAATCATACAAGAAGGGAAGGCCTTCCAGTTGGGCCATCACTTTTACAATCCAAGCTTCTAGTACTTGGGACATGTGATCAGGAGAGACCATTCCCCGGAGAAGGACATCGTGCTTGGTGAAGTGGAAGAGCTGTGAAAAAGAGGAAGGCTCTGAACAAGATGGATTGACCAGTGGCTGCAACAGTGGGGCTTGGGCATAGCAACCATTGTGAGGATGGCGCGGACCAGGCGGTGTTCTGTTGTGCTTGGGGTCGCTACCAGTCAGAATCTACACGATGGTACCTGACAACAAGCCAGCCTCTGCTGCCCGTCACCTGAAACAGGTGAGTCAATAGGAAACATTTCAAATGACCATCGCTGGCCCACTGCCAACCCGTAGGGGATTCTGTGTTTCCAGATTTCAAGGATATGTTTCTAACTTTGTTTTGCTTTGTAGCAAATGATAGGCCTATCAAGCACCTTTTGTTTTCTGTGACTGACTCTCCACTGAGGGCCATGGTCAAGTGCTTGTTTGAAATGTGCCCATCTGCACAGTTTTCATTTTCATGATCTAAAGTCCTCCTGGTTGTCTGAGAGACACAGAATGCCTATCTCCAGGGGCTGGGGCTTCAGGAAAGAGGATTTCACAATCATGAAGCACAACTGAGCTTAAACAAACCAAAACAGCTGGGCTTCATGTTAACTTGCTCCCTGTATAGTGATCTTTAAAAAGTTGGTGGAAGAATGGAATGAAGAGATCCTGGCATTCTTCCACAAACTTTTTGGAGCACCCCCATACAGACCTGTATTGATAGAGTGAGGACGTGAATCATGCACCTCACCGTTTTCTAAAGGCACTTGACTGAGGACTTGACTTAGTATTCGGTTTATGGGTGCACCCTATCCGTCCCAAGACCAAATGGAGCTTGTAGCTACAGTAGAACCCCAGTACTCGACCGCATCAGAACTCGACAGCATCAGTTTTCGATGCGAAATGTTGAGAAAATTTTGCATCGGAGCTTGCACAAAACATTGGAATCTGACCTGACGCACGTGATTTTTGTAAACAAAAGCAGTTCGTGTTCGGTCACTCGGCATTAGTTGGCGTTAGTATGCGTTGTTTAAACCTTTGGTGGCTGTGTTCCAAGTGTTTTGCTATAATTTTCTTAGTTTTTGTGGCTTTTTGTACTGTTTTTTAGATAAAAGAACATGGGTCCTAAGAAGGGTTTTTTGAAAAGAATTAAGGAACTGGTTAACTGTGTTATCAGTATTGTTGATGATAATTTAGTTTGCCCTTTTAGAAAACAGTTAAGGAAACGCCAACAGCAGACCACATTAGACAGTTTTTTGGGTTTTTTTAGAGAAAGTCAGCTAGGTCCTAGTGAAAAAAGGCAAAGAAGGGGAAAAAACTGAAAAGCAGCTACCAGTTGATTTTATGGAAGGGGATTCCCCTTGCAAACAATGGCTCTGCATCCCTCCTCTCCAGATCCGGATCCTCATCGATCTCAAGGTGTGGGCCATACTGTAGATGTGAAATGTTGTGTTTCTTATTTAAATTATAGTATTTAACGCTGAGCTTATTTGAGATTTCTGTGTAATGTTTTGTATAAAAAGGCAAGGTTAGGGTAAAACTTTGGTGTTCGAAAATAGATTCATCCATTTTCAGTTATTTCTTATGGGAAAAACTGATTCAGAACTGGACTGCATGGCATCTCAACGGTCCTTCTAGAACGGATTAACGTCCAGGTCTGGGGTTCTCCTGTAATCACTTTGAAACATAGATCAGCAGTAGCATCCGTAACGCCCATCTGACCATGGGGATCGCTGGTATACAAGCAGGGAGGTGAACTGTCAAGGCCAGATTGGAGGGTGGAACCCTGTGACTGAAACAGGTGGGTGGAGTGACAGAACAAACTCCTTGCCATCGAGTCGATGCTGCCTCACAGGATCCCGGTGGGACCGGGTAGAACTGCCCCTGCGGATTTCTGAGGTTGCAAATCTTTATGGGAGCAGACAGCCTCATCTTTCTCCCTTGGGGCAGGTGGTGGTTCTGAACTGCCAACTTGAATGTTAATTGTCTAACTAGTAACCACCATGCCGGCAGGGCTCTTTGGGATGCATAGTCAAACAGAAGAAAACTCAAACTGCCATTGAGTTGATGCCAATTCATAGCAACCCTCTGGGCTGCCCCTGTGGGCTTCTGACACCGTAACGTTTTCTAGGAGTAGAAACCCTTCTCATTCTCGCTTGGACCGGCTGGTGATTTTGAACTGCCGACCTTGTGGTTAGGAGTTCAATGCATAACCAATAGCACCATCAGGGCTCCTTTGGGTACACAACATGCCATCAATAACTAGCAATGTGTTCTCCTTTTCTCCATGTACCAATGCTGGGAAGGACAAGATGTTTTGGAAATGCTTGGTAATTTCTTTCTTTCTAATAGCAGAGATTATAAAAACCCCAATATTTCATTTCCCCTGATTAAAAAGTCAATGATTTCACATTCTCCGCCATGAGCTTCGAATGAGCGGCGCTCCTGTTACCAGTCAGGCAAAGATGCTGGGGAATAGTTCAAACTGGCACCCAAAGAAAGGGACAACTGAGACCCCAGCCGCTGAAACA